TTTTTTGGGGTTTCAGGCGTGCAGAGCCCTCCAGCGCTCCAGGGGTCCCCGGGACGGGACGTATTTGACGCCGCAGCCGTCGGGGATCAAACGTTTCTGAGCCACCATCTCCTCGAAAGCGTCGGCGTTGAACTTGGTGAAGCCCCATTTCTTGGAGATGTGGATCTGGGGAACCCCAAAAATCCATCAGGAAATCCCAAAAATCATCGGGGGACCCCAAAAAACACCCAGAAAAAAATTGGGGTCCCCAAAACCTCCCCACACCGTTTATTTTAATGGTTTTTGGGCCAAAGAACTCAACATTTGGTGTCTTTAAACCCCTCCCCAATTTGGTGAAGCCCCATTTCTTGGAGATGTGGATCTGGGGAACCCCAAAAATCGGTCAGGAAATCCCAAAAATCATCAGGGGACCCCAAAAACCCCACAGGAAAAAAATTTGGGGTCCCTAAAACCTTCCCACACCGTTTATTTTAATGGTTTTTGGGCTAAAGAACTCAAAATTTGGTGTCTTTAAACCCCCTCCCCAATTTGGTGAACCCCAATTTCTTGGAGATGTGGATCTGGGGAACCCCAAAAATCGGTCAGGAAATCCCAAAAATCATCAGGGGACCCCAAAAACCGCACAGGAAAAAAATGGGGTCCTCAAAACCTTCCCATCCCGTTTATTTAAACGTTTTATGGGCCCAAATAACTCAAAATTTGGTGTCTTTAAACCCCTCCTCAATTTGGTGAACCCCAATTTCTTGGAGATGTGGATCTGGGGAACCCCAAAAATCATCAGGGGACCCCAAAAAATACCCAGAAAAAAATTCAGGGTACCCAAAACCTCCCCAACCCCATTTATTTTAATGTTTTTAGGCCCAAAAATCCCTCCCCGCTCTATCAAATTTCTTCTAAACCCCTCAAATTTGGTGAACCCCCATTTCTTGGAGATGTGGATCTGGGGAACCCCAAAAATCATCAGGGGACCCCAAAAACCCCGCAGGAAAAAAAATCGGGGTCCCTAAACCCCCTTCAAAAGATCTAAAAATCCCAATTTTCCCTCCCCCAACCGCACAGATTTTGACCCACCCCAGCCCCCAATTTCCCCAAATTTTCCCCCAAATTTTTGAGGTGTCCTGGGATAATTTTGGGGTATCCCGGGATAGTTTTGGGATGTCCCCGGATAATTTTGGGGTATCCCAGGATAAATTTGGGGTATCCCGGGATAATTTTGGGGTATCCCAGAATGAATTTTGGGGTGTCCCGGGATAATTTTGGGGCATCCCAGGATAATTTTGGGGTGTCCCAGGATCTTTTGGGGTATCCCGGGATAGTTTTGGGATGTCCCGGGATATTTTGGGGTATCCCAGGATATTTTGGGGTACCCCAGGATAATTTTGGGGTATCCCGGGATAATTTTGGGGTATCCCAGAATGATTTTTGGGGTATCCCGGGATAATTCTGGGGTATCCCAGGATAATTTTGGGGTATCCCGGGATAATTTCGGGGTGTCTGGTACCTTCTGTCTCCCCGGGAATTTGAACTTGGCCCTGCGCAGCGCCTCCACCACGTGCTCCTTGTTCTGGGCTTTGGTGCGGATGGACATGATCACCTGCCCGATGTGCACCCG